ATTTTCACTGAACTACTTGAAAGAGGATCTCAGCAGGTACCCTGACATTCCCTCCTGAAATTTAGGCCACATTAAGACAAGGACAGTCTCTTGTATATCACAGTAACTACTGTCACATTAAAATAACAACTTAAAATAATTCAGTATCCAGGCCAGGGCAGAGGACAACCTAAGCCCATTACCACTGTGGAGCAAGTGCATCAACTATCTGGGAAGTCTTGCTGGCACATCCTTTGCCCAGCTCCAGGAGGCAAAGGCAGCAGCACTGGAGGGAGTGAGAGAGGTGGGAAGGGGTAGCCCATGGGCTGAGTCCAGCAAACCAGAACCCCTGTGCACTGCACAGTGCTCTGACCATGGCTTGAACACATAGCCATTTTTTTTTTGAGACAGGGGTTGGGGGGGTGTCTCATATCCCAGGTGGAGGATGACCTTGAATTTCTGGTCCTCCTGCCTCCATCTCCGAACTGCTGGAACTATAGGTGAGCACCGCCACATCGCCTGCTGTAAACAGTGTTGAGGATGGAGCCCAGGGCTTCATGTATGCTAAGGAAGCACTCTGTCAGCCCCCAAAGCTTTTCTTTGTGACAAGGTTTCATGTTGCATAGGTTGGCCTCAAACTTGCCCTGTAGCCAAGGATGACCTTGAACCTCCTGGTCCTCCTGTCTCCACCTCCCAAGTGCTAAGATTACAGGTTTGAGCCAGCCAGGTATTCAATCAAGTTTCTCATGCTGCATCTGGCTATTTTGTCTCTTACTGTAGGAGGGCCCTGAAGGGGAGGTGGGTAATAGAGCCCGAATTTGACAGCCAGATGCCACCGCTCCAGACTGGGTCCGGTAAACTGAGAGTGCTGGGCTAAAAGACCGGTGCCGCTCCTAGATTGCTGGGCAGACCTGGGAAAGTTCGCAGCCGGAAGCTCCTGCGTAGCAGTGCCAGACGGTCCCGCCCCCTAGCAACGGGCCTAGCGTCCCTCCCTAGAGACGGGGCAGACCCGCCGCGGTGCAGCTTAGCAGAGCTGGTAGGTGGGTGAGGCGTGAGGCGGTGGGATTGCTGGTCAGGGGAACTTCAATGAGGCTCGAGTGGACATGCAGGAGTCGTCTTCCCAGCCTAGGATCACCATTCCCGCCCACTAGTGTGCGTCCCGAGCAAGCTTGAGGGGAAGGGAGGGGAGTGCACCCCGAACAGCCTGGCGGTTAAATCCTTTAGCACTGAGTTGAGAGGTGGGGGTCCTCTCTATTGCGGGGAATGGAACTCACAGCCCTCCTGCTATGGCAGGTCCCTGGAGGAAAGGAGCTGGTCCTCACCAGCCACCCGTTCTCTTTCCTTATCTGACCACCAAGTTACAGACATCAACTCCCTTCCTTCCTTTGTAGACCCAATTCAATTGTTGATTCACAGTCATTCAGCAAGTGCATTCTGGGCACTTGCTGTATACCACGCCTGTGACTGTCCCCATGGTAGGTGCTCATTTCCCAGAGATGAATACTACTTGAAAATTCCTGCCTAGCTGACAGGGGAGTCCAAAGTGTACGTATAATTCCAGGATATGTTCAATGGAGCAGTGGGCACAGAGCCAAGTTTCCTCAGGTGGATTCATCAAAAGGGTGAAGGGTACCCCGAGCCTGTGAAAGACGACCACCTTCCACTGTTTGCTTGGTAGTTTCAGCACAGGCAGACTTCCAAAATCCCTTAACATCCAGCTCCTTTGTCAAGTGAGAGCGCACACAGGCCCCTGGGATGTGGGACAAACAGAAGTGGATGGTTCTTTTTGAATCAGAGTGGGTGAGCTGGAAGCCCTTCTGTTCAGGTCCCCCTCAGGGACCCACTTTGCACACATATCTCAGGGCTCCTCCATACACTTTTGTGGACCTGAGTTTGCCTGTTTGTAACAGCTGCAGTAACAGTGGTGTCTGCTGTGAGGACTGAACCCCTCTGTTCATCTGTGTGCATTCATTAAAGTGACTGAGAATATGGGAGGAATGTCAGTGAATCCCAGCCACTGCCTCATCTGGCTCAAGGAGATAGGGCTCCCAAGTAGTGCAGATGAGGAGCAAGAAGTTGGAGCCAGGAATGGTGGTATACTCCTGTAATCCCAGCTACTCAGTAGACTGAGGCAAGAGGATTACTACAAGTTTTAGGTCAGCCTGCACTACAAAATGAATACCAAGCCAGCCAGGGCTGCAATAGCTTTTGTTTATTTGTTTTTTGTTTGTTTGTTGTTTTAAAAACTTGATTCCAATTCCAAGTGTGCCACTTGCTGGTTACGAGACCTTGACCAGGTCAACCTTTTTGGGACTCATTTTCTCATTGCTGAGAAATGAGGATAGTCTCAATTTCCACCTCAGAAGTTTAGATGGGATGATGTGTGAAATGCATCTAAGGCCTGACAGCATTCACCATGCCTAGTTCTGGGGCTGCCAGCGCCAGCCCTGCCATCTCACTAGCTAGTTTCCTCACACAAACAAGAGAGAGAGGGGAGTGCCCAGAGTGTCCAACAGCAGAGGCTTTGCTGGGAATCATGTACCCTCTCTTGCTAGCCACACTCATTCCCAAGCACAGGCTGCTATCACCTGTGAGGCTGTGGTAGGCAGAGGTTTGTCTGTTACAATTCCCACACACACTGTCTATGCATAGGCATACCAAGTTGAGGCAGGACTAGAAGGGAGCTGTTGTAAAGGGTTGGGAGAAGAAGGGAAACAAGGTTCAGAGCCTGCGGCCTACTTTTCCACTTTTTGTCCTCGATGCATTGATGCATTACCCCCCTGCCAACCCATGCTTTCCTTCCACCAACTATGCATTCCCCTACCACCAACCCATGCATTCCTCCATTGCTAACCCATGTGTTCCCCTACTACCAACCTGCTCAAAGAACAGCTTACAGAGTGGGGAGCAATAAACTCAACCATCCAGGCACCTTTGCTCCTGGCAACACTGCAGTTTCCTGGACATTTGTATATCTGCTATCTCTGTGCCCCAGGAAAGCAGACCAAGCAGGTTGAGTCCCATACACTGGCTGGAGAGTCCAAGAATGAAATGCTTTGCTATGGAGCTGGAACCCTGGTCTCTCCAAGCCCAATCTGTTTAGTGATTTTCTTCAAAGATGAAACAGATGTCTGTGGGTTTTCAGGCTGAGAAAGCTGGGCCTCAGAGAGTCCTCTGTCCTTTATGTTGTTATGAAAAGGACAGAAACTGAAACACAGCTGGGCCAGACCAAGACTATTTTCAACATTTGTCCTAGGAGGTAGCTGGCCACTAGGGAGTTAGTTCAGGGAGCAGAATTCCCGTGTGGGAGGCCTGGCAGGTCTGCAAGGCTAGAGAATGGCGGGCCTCTATGCTGAGTAGCTGGGGCTTCTGCCAGAGCCCTACCTATCCTTTTGTGTCCCTCAAATGGCCTTCTAACTCACGATCCTCTTCTTAGAATGTGCTGCTGTGTAGTCTTGGTCCCACAGGCCTGACCCATCCTACTCCTCGGGGCAGTGTACATGAGATCCTGTGTACAAAGAGGCCTATGCCAACCAGTTCCATTGAGAATGGAAGACTATAAAACACCCATGGCCTATCCTGCAAGCTTTTGTCTGCTTTGCCCCAGGGTGTAGAGGGGGTGAGACAGTGAGATGAGGGCTTACCAGTTTGGGCCTCTATTTCCTTAAGATGTTTGCTTTTGTGCTGGGGAGATGGCTCTTGTGCTTGCTACACAAGTATGTGGCCCTGAATTCAGATCCCCAGAATCCATGTAAAAGCTGGGCATGGCAGCACAGAGCTCTAGGGATTGGCAGAGACCGGTGGATCCCAGGGGTTCACTGGCCAGCTTCGTCTAGCCAAATCAGTGAGCTCCAGATTCAATGAGAGAGATCTTGTCTCAAAAAACTGTGGCCTGCAAAATGGCTCAGTGAGTAAACATGCTTGCCACCAAGCCTGACAACCTGAGTTCCATCCCCAGGACCCACATGGTAGGACAGAACCAACTTCCAAACACTGTCTTCTGATCTCCTCTCCACACATGCTGTAGCACACACACACACACACACACACACACACACACACACACGCACACACGCACACACACACACTTCTTTTCATTGAAATTTTTGAGATAATTGTAACTTTTTGTTTTTTGTTCTACCCTTACATGCAAACCTCTTCTTCCTGTTTGTCTAATTTATTGTAACATTCTCCTGCTTAAGTATTTCCCCTGGTTATCATGCTTTGAGGTAGCTAAAAGCAGCAGTGGTTTAGGAGGGACTTGCCAAAATCACTCTGTCCTCAAGGTGGTAGATGTGCATGCAGCCCAGCAGCACCTGCTACTCACTTTGCAAAGACAGGAGGGTGAACATTCTCCAAACTGACCTGACTCCCATATCCAAGGAGAGTGAATGCCACTTTGTGGCTGGTAGGAGGATCTATGGGTCCATGAATGGTCATGTTTGGGGTCCTATTGGCAAATCCATTGAGTCCTCTGGTTCCTGAGGTATGAAGGTGGTGGAGTGGGAAAACATGGGTGGGGCTGAGTATGGCCTGTGGTTCAAAGGCATTAGCAAATCCTTGTGCCCACATGGGGGAGAAGAAGCCCAGTCCAGTAGGGCTGGCCTAGAGCACTGACACTACTTCTGAATGAAAGCCTTTTGGAGAAAATTCATTGAGTGGACCAGCTCTGAGCCTCCCTCATCTCCCACCACCAAGAAGCCAGGCCTTGCTGGCTGAAGGGAGGCAAAGAGTGGGAAGGTCGGGAGGCACCGGATTGGTGACATCGGCAGAGTTTCCAGAAGGAAACTGGATTCTCTCAAACCTTGATTCTCAAGATGGGCAATTGTCTCCTGTGGGACTCGTGATACTATCTGTCCTTTTCTATTGTGCGTGTGTCATGGGCTTGGACTTGATGTGGAGGGGCAATCTAGCCATCCATTAGTCATAGTACTACTGGGGCTGAGACAGAGGTGGGCAGTGTGAATGATACCACATCTTCTCCTAGGAGCTCTGGCTGGGACAGCTCTCTGAGGAACATCATGGAGCAGTGGAACAGAGAACCAGGAAGGAGCCAGAACCCTAAGGGCTCAGAATGCTGCCTAGCGAGGCCTGCTGGAAACCAAGAGTATAACCCGGAGCAGAGACCCCAGAGATCAGATTATCAGATGAAGAGATCTCCTCCAGGTCCTGAATCCAAATTCCCAACTGTACCCCAGTCCCAAACTGTGCTTTCAGACTTAGGGCAGCCCCAGCCCAAGTCTTCTCTGACAGGCACTGATAAGAAGTACCCACTGATGAGGCAGTGCGGATTTTACTCTGACATCCTCAGCCCTGGAACCTTGAACCAACTTGGGGTGAGTGTAAAAGCTATCCCCTGTCAGACCTGAGCCCTCCCTGTGGGTTCCATTCACTCATCTTTTCATCCTTCTCAATGTCAGTTCATCTGGCCATTTAGCCTCCTGACTGCATCTGTCCATCTATTTGTCAATTTGGCCATCCAGCTACCCTCACTTTCCCTTCATCTATCCATTTGTCTGTCCATGTGCTCATCCATCCATCCATCCATCCATCCATCCATCCATCTAGCTGTCCTTCATTTGTCCATGAATCCACAATCACTGCTAAGTCCTTGCCATGTGCCAGGCTCTGTACTAAGCATTGGGGACACAGCAAAGATGAGACATCCATATCTTTATTGTGATGACTTGGAAAGTCCCTTCCCCAGCTCTAATTAAGAGGGGGTCTATGGATCAGACCGCATACTGCTGAAATCTAAAGGGTAGACATGCATTCACTAGGTGAGATAGAGGCTGGATGGTACATGTCAGGCAGGAAGAACAGCAGGTACAGAGCCCCTGGGACACTGAGAGAAGGCATGGACCTTGTGGGGGGGGGGATATGAGCAGAGGGATCAAGGAATGATGATGGGGTCTGGGGAAAGACAGGAAGGAAATGACTAGGAGAGTATTCACAGAGTCCTATAGGTCCCATGAAGCCTTAAGAAGATTTTTGGCAGGGAAGGGACTGGAGAAACAGAGTGAGGACCCACTGGCTACCCAACCCACCAGTAGTGCCAGAGTGGCCCTTAGGAGAGGAAATACACCTAAAGACACTGATTGTGCAGAACCTGCCTCATGGCTTGGCTCTTGGACATATACGGGAGTGTTCTCTGGAAAGAAGGAAGCTATGCTGGACTCAAATGGGGCAGCCAAGAGTGTCCCAGGTAGCCACAGCCCATCACCCACCATGCCCTTTGAACAATGTACAAGACCTCACCTCCATGCTCCTGGGGTGCTCTCTGTTGGGCCTTCATAGACAGCTGACCTTGGAGTCCCTCCTGGGTCCTGACTGCCCTTGGAATATTTATACACACTCAGACTCTGGGCTTGGTTTCAGAATGTTTGCAATGGCCCCTACATGTCCCAGAACTTGATTCGTCAAGCCTACCTCGACAAGTTCACACCAAAAGGTCAGTGCCCAGGATGGGGCAGGTAATGCTGGTGGGTAGTCACACTACCTGGGGCCTCAGGGAGGAAGTCTCTTCCTGGCAGAAAAACCTCAGTTTCCTGGGGGATGAAATAATGCTAGTAAGGTATGGTGGGCTTTGTGAGGGCCCAGCTCATGGAGTGCTTTATCACTACCCTCAGCAGAGCTATGCCAGGGCCGCACATGGGCCTGGGAACCTCTAGGGCCACAGTTCTCTCTACTGGGCTAGGCTCACTAGGGCTTGGGTTTGCTATCTCCCCTGGAATATGGGCTGGAGGGAGGCCAAGGTCGTGTCTGAACTGCTCCCTGCTGGAGCCCAGCACCTGAAACAGGACCTGGCATAGCTAGATGTCTGGGAGATCGTGGCAGAAGGAGAAGACTGTCCTCATGGGCTTCATGGTGAGTTTCAGAACATAGCTAGAAGTAACTGGGGTAAGTCTGCAGGGCGGGACAGACCTGTGGCAGAAAGAATGGATGGCCCTGGCAGGGTCCAGGTAGTAAGGGGCAGGAACCTGGCCATGTTGCTCTCCTTCTCTATCAGATAGTATGCCCCATCCATCAGATCCAGATGCCCCATGGTCCCAGTCATCTCTGCCCTCATGTCCACCCCAGGAAGGGCATGGCTCCTTCCTGACACTGCTCAAAGTAGCAGTGTCAGGCTGTGAGTCTGTGTGTGGTATTTCTAAGCCACATTATGGTTATACCTTAATAAAGAAACAGCCTGACTCTTAGCATCCATTTTAAGGCCAAGAGTGGACCCAAACTGCTGAGCACCTGTTCCTTCAGATATCTCTTGGAACTGTGCTCCTGAGCAAGGGCTTTGCCCATTTTTTAAAATTGAAACACTGTCTCTAGCATGAAACGGGGAAGTAAAAGTCAAGACCTGCCCTTATCAGAGAATCCTGCCCTATGATCACACACATAACTACAAACATGCTTCTCAATTTCTCTCATTATTTGCAATGAGAAAAGCATGCTTCGTGGAGCACTTTGATATGTAAAGCATGCATGCACACATTTATACACTATCTTGGGTGGAGGGCAAGGAGGAATCCTGAGGGATGAAGATCACATGACCTGGTCACAAGAGGAGCACATGGGTCAGTGAGTTTGTAACTTTTTGGTTGCAAGGTTAGGTAAAAGCCTTTAGTTCAGATTATGTCCATATTATAAAAGTCATTCCTACATCTGTGAATCTCTAACTTGGCAGAAAACATCACATTCATGGGCATGCGTGTGCTTGTGCAAGTCAGGTTTGTTCTCAACAGTCTCACAATCACCTAGGATGCAGGAAATGGTGATGAACCACAGATCTCTCTGTGGGGGATGGGAATGGTGCTCCTTTCATCCCTGACAGGGGTGGGCCACAGGGGAGGCCAGAGGCTCAGCAGACCCCCACTAGGGGCGGAATAGCATCCCAACAAATCCCAGAGTGGTGCATGGCAACCACTGACAAAAGTTAGTTATCCAAAGGTTGGAAGGCCTCTGCAGAATCTCAGATAGTAGTCCAGGCTCAGGTTTCTGTGGAGCTCCATAAGGCTACTCCTAAAGTGAACCCCTGAAATATAACTACTTTTTTACTCCAGAAAGGTGGTGGGGTCCTGGGAGTAGGTCACCAAGGCCTACCACAGTCCCTGGAATTCTTTGGACCCTTCCTCCAACAGGAGAATGAAGGGGTCACCCAGAGCACTGGGGAGAGTGACCCATGCATTCTGCAACATACGCCCACATTCTCTTTCTTCGACTTTATAGTCTTAGTTCACCTGGTGCTTTCCCCTCAGCACCCTGTGTCCCAGGAAACTCTTACCTGGCTAGCTGGGGTGGTGGGTCACCCTGTTTGTGATTCTCTTCCTACCATCTCCCTCCCCCAGACCTGGAATAGAAGCCTCTATCTGCCATTGTTTAAGTAGGGGCAATCATTTGGTAGCATGAGGGTCCCATTGAGACTACTGACTCCTACAGTATCAGATGCCTCGTGTCTGGAAACATCCCCAGAGAACATGTGAGACTCAGATTCTAATATGGGTTATGCTGTGGGTGTCAGGAAGGCATCCCACTTTATCTTCCTGTCCAGCCGTGGCCCTCGTGTGTTTCAGCCTGAGCATTGTTCCCTGGTGTTGGGGTGGTTGGTGGCTTGAGAAGGAGTGGTCAAGTCTTGGGCAGGCAGAGCAACACCTACCTTGGCCCACGATTTCTCATCTCTCCCTGACCCTGCCTGGCTAGAGGCAAACCTGAGCCTTCTGCCTCTGCCTCTGCCTCTGCCCATAGTCAAATCCTTCAAGGTTCCAGAGAACTTCCAGGAGCAGGTGGAGCAGCAGTGCATTGGTTCCACCACGAGGCTGCTTACCCAGACTGACTTCCCACTGCAGGCCTATGAGCCTAAGGTGCAGGTGCCATTCCACGTGCTGCCCGGACAGCGCCCCCGCAAGACTGAGATTGAGAGGTACGCTGGGAGAGCTGGAGAGGGAAACCTGTCCTAGGGAGATAGCATCTACCAGACTCAAGGGGTGAGGGACTGAAGACCATAAGGTGACAAGCCCGACGGTGGAGTGTGTGCAAATGTTGAAGCAAATTTTCTCTAAGTAGGAACAAATGACTTTCCTTGCTGTGGTATTGGGAGGGTGGCAGTTAAGTCAATGAAGTGGGACTGCAGGGACAGGACAGAAGGGGGTAGTTGAGCCCTGGGCCTTTGCTGACACCCCTGGAGCTACTTCATGAGCCATCATCCTGTGGCTCCTCAATGCTCTGGCTAGGAGGAAACGGCAGTACCTGAGCCTGGACATAGAGCAGCTGTTGGCCAGCAAGGGCATCAACTCCAACAAGCTCATGCCCAGGCACCCAGACCTGCATCACCCCCAAACCATCGAACAAGGCCATGACCCACTCTTTCCCATCTATCTTCCATTGAAGGTGAGATGCACTGCCATGAATTGCTGATAGGTCAAGGGTGGGGGTGCTGGACCCCAGCTAAGGCTCAGGAGTCACACTCCAAAGGGGACTCCCTGGCCAATCATAGGCACTCAGGTGTCAGACAGTGGAATAATCTGAACCCACCCCAGGTGCCTCGAGCACCCTGAGCTGAAACAGGAGTGGTTCCAGAACCCCTAGGACTCTGGTTCCAGGCTTCTTCCCTGGAAGTTTATGCAGCTGCTATGCCTATCCCCTACCCCCCACCCTGGCCACAGGCATCTATAAGCAGTTGGATTGGACTGTAGAGTAGTGTATAGACCCCTGACTAGAACTTTCCTGAGGGTCAGAGCTGCTCTGGGTTTATGAAATGGGGGGAGTGGGGGTGTGGGAGGGCTTTCATCCCACTTCCTCAAAGTGCACACAGAGAACCTGAGCCTGGAGAGGAGAAAGGGAGCAGAGCCAGGTTCTGGCTTTTGCTGCCTTCTCCTCCCTTCCTCTGTGGACCATGTATCTCTTGCCTGGTTGTCCCTGTGGGAGGCAGAGCTGAATCCAGTGAGTGTCTCTCTACTAGAGCTGACTGCTGATAGTGCTGAATTTCCCAGGCCAGCAGGGAACACTTAGGAAATCCCAGAGCCACCTGTCCTCTTGGACCTGAGCTGGATGTTTCCCCATAGAGGTCAAGAGATCCCACATCCTGCTCTGAGACCCTGGACACCTTCAGCCTGAGTCTTGGAATACTTTGCTAGACGGGAATCCAGGGCAACCCCCTCATCTGGACACTGTGGGTCTTTGAAATCAGCAGGGCCCCTGCGGGTCAGTCTTGCCCAGCCTGTAGCTACCTCATCTGGAGTGGCTACAGAGGGCTGTGGCATGCTCTGCTCTGCCTGGTCACTAGGGGAGCTGTTTCCTTGGACAGTTGCCTGCTTTTTTCCAGGTGTTTGATAATGAAGAGTTTGACTGCCGGACTTCCACTGAGTGGCTCAACATGGGCTTGGAGCCAGGGTCTCAGAACAGGAAACCTGTCCCTGGAAAAGCCCTTCTTCCCACTGATGACTTCTTGGGGCACGGTGAGCAGGGCCACCCTGGGTGGGAATACTGTCCTGTCCCAGCCCCAGCCCTGGCCCAGGCACCAGGGCTCCCCTGGGACCTGGCATCCATGGGCATTAAGGGACCTGTTGAACTCTCCCGGCTGAGAAGCAGGCCAAGGAGATGGCCACACAGAGGCAGGAAATGCAAAGACCAAGGACAGTATTGTCAAGAGGGCTGGGAACAAGACAGCTAGATGGTGTTGAGTGTTTAAAGGTAAAAACAAACCAAAATAACCCCACAACCTTGTGGGGTAAGGGAGATGGTTCAGTGGGTAAGAGGGCTTGCTGCTCAAGCATAAGAATCTGAGTTCAGGTGCCCATGTAAAAAGCCAGCTGTGGCAGGCACACCCATAACCCCAGCACGTAGAGACAAAGATCCCTGGGGCTTGCTGGCTGCCAGCTTAGCTGAAAAACAAGTGAGCTCCAGAGTCAATGACAGATCCTGTCTCAAGGGACTAGACAGAGAGCAACAGAGGAAGATACCGGCACCCTCTTTGGTATCCATATATGTGCATTCCAGTGTATGTGAACCCGAACATACATGTATACACACACAAATACCACACCAAAAACCCTTTAGTTTATTGGCAATAAAAATGCATGTATTCTGAGCTGGAGAGATGGCTCAGTGGTTAAGAACACTGGTTGTTCTTGCAGAAGACCCGGGTTCATCCCAGCACCCACATGGCAGCTAACAACTGTTCATAACTCCAGTCCCAGGGGATCCAACAGCCTCTTCTGACCTCCGCAGGCACTGCACAACATGGTGCACTTACCTACATGCAGGCAAAACAGGCATACACATAAAATAAAAATAATAAATATAATTTTTTTAAAAATTCACATACTCATTGGAAATGTACAAAGGTACATAAGGGCACAATTACAGACCTTCCATCCCACCACCCTGAAATCGCCATTGCTGCAGCCCTCCTGGTGACCTCTAGGTTCTTAATCTTGTGTGGACAGAACACACTGTCACATACTTGCTTATAGCATAATACACACCCTGTCATACATTCACTGTCTCATTCGCTATCAAACACTGACCCACATGCAGTCACACTCAAACATGTTTTCACCATACAGATTCATGTATCCTACAGTCATCCATTTACAACCACTGTCACACCTTCCCACACATACCCACTGGATCCTACCCAGACTGGCACATGTGTCCATAGAGTGCCCATGGCACCTCCTTTGGCCTCAGGTCTGTCCTGGTGACCACAGAGGTTCTCTCCAATTGCCTGCTGTCAAGAATAGTATAGTGCCACGGTGAACATGCCTGCAGACCTGGCCTGCATGACTGGGTCTCTGTGCAGCCTTCCTAGGAAGACCAGGGTCCTAAGTTTGGTGGTTGGTAGTGGCTCTTTACCATGCAGGGCCGAAGGATACACTGCTTTCTGCCTTTGGGTAGACATGATGTTATGGAATGGAGAATGGAATCAATTGGCCAGTCACCAGGTGGGAGGCAAGACCATAAAAACAAGGCCTGTGTTAAAGGCCATGCAGCCTCGGGAAGACCCATGGTGAATTCACTGAGCAGGCTGCAAATAAATTTTATTCCAAAAACACAGTAACATTGGAATCAATTTATCTAAATTAGACAAGTAGCCCAGAATGTTCCCTTCACTTTGGACTTAAAGTACAAATTAATTTAACTAAATTGATCCCGTTTCTCCAATTCCTGGCAAGTAAACCAGGTTTGGGGATGCACTGACCTCAAATACAATGAGTACTGGCTTCCTCACTACACTGGGGCCTTGGCTGGGAGCATTGGGGCAAAGAGGGGCTCACAGGACACATCTTCCAGAGACCTCTTATTTTCTGTTGGTGGCTTCTTAGAATATACTTTCCCTGTAAGTCCAGCCAAGATGAGGCTAACATTTTTTTTTTTTTTTGGTCTTTTTGAGACAGGGTCTCCCTGTCTCAAAAAGACCAAAGGGGAGGGGAAGGAAACATTTTAGGAAGGGGAGGGGAAAGTAAAACTACAACAGCCTTGTTGACTCACCTGATATCAGCAGATGGAGCCATTTCCCCAGAATTCTAGCCCTTTCTTCCTCAACCCACGCTGAAGAACCCACCAGTTTGTTTTAAGCCATCACAGCTTGAAATTTCTGCTGAGAGCTGTGTATGCATCATCCCTCTTCAGTAGCCTATTGAACACCTGCTTTGCACCAGTCTCCATTCTAGGCCCAAGTCTGCAGCTATGACCTTCCTTTAGGGAGCTGACAGCAATATAGCTAAGCCATGGTGAGGGATGAAAAGGAAGCAGAAAGTTAGAGAACCTGGGTGGAGGTGCTGTGTTAGGCAGCGATGCTTCACCCATGAGGAGCCCCCACCAGGCAGAGGTCACAAGCAGTGCAAAGGGCCTGAGGCAGAAGCAAGCTCAAGTCATAGGAATAGGCAAACCATGCCACATGGGTAGGGAGGAATGGGCAAAGCGGGGGACAGAAGGAGGGGGTAAGCTGAAGTGGGCAAAGGCTTTCATGTGAGTGATCATGAGTAACCGAAGAAGGCCTCTCCTGACCAAACAGGTCTATTTTGAGCCTATTGCAGGGCAGTGGCCTCCACCCCTGCCTTCTGACATGAGGCCAGTGGCTCAATAGCCAAGTGTGCCTTTGGGGAGGGCTTCACCCTTGCCGTGGTCACCTTGAAGAGGTCTAGCTCATCCTGGATGCACTTGTGATGCAACCACAGCAGGGTTGTTTTTGTTTCTGGATTTTCTGAGACAGAGTATGACTGAGTTGGCCTGACTGTCTTCGAACTCACTGTGTAGCCCAGAATAGCCTTGAACTTGCCACCCCCGTGTCTGCCTCTCAGCCGCTGGGATTATGAGCATGTGCTACCAGGCCCAGCCCTCAGCAGGCTTTTCATTTGCTTGGAGCTTTCATGGTTCCCCAATTGACCTATGTCTCGCTCTGCTCTGGTGAGGGTTAAGCAGAGAGGCCCGGTCCTCCTGGGTCCCCCCTGTGACAGAGGCCAGCTCACCTAAGAGGAAGCAGGACCCTTGCTCTGCTAGAGCCAGAGGGAGTGTCCTGGGAGAGGAAAGGCCAGACTAGTGACCTCCGAAATCCATTCCTGACACCTACTGCCACACTGAGAGACCCCTCCCACCTCCATGGCAGAGAGCACTGGTTGGATGTCCCCCTCTGTTTTAGAGGACCCCAAGAGTCAGAAGCTAGATTATAAATGGTGCGAAGTTGGCGTCCTTGACTGTGATGAGGAGAAGAAGCTCTACCTGGTGCAAAAAACTGACAAGAAAGGCCTGGTGCGAGACGATATGGGGATGCCCATCATGAATGGAGGTGTCACAAGTGAAGGTACAAGATCTGCGCTGCCCCAGTAGACCCCCAGCTCAAGCCTGGCTCAGCCATGACTGAGGCTAACTCCACCAACCCAGCTTGGAATTCTACTTTTCTGGGTTTGACCTGAGGCTCTCTGTCCCCTGACTAGTAAGAAACAGAGGATCATGGGGAGGCAGATGGTCGTTGTTTGGCATATCCACTATGAGCAGCTGGTATTGGAAAGAAAGCCAAGGCCTGTCTGTCAATCAGGTTTGCTTTGGAGTGGCATGGATTAAGGGGCACCTTAATGGCCATCCCTGTGTAACTCCTGCCTGAGTACAGCTCTTTACAGTTTGCAAAGCACTTTCAATCCATAACACCCAGTGAGATGGGCAGAAAAGGGAATGTGGTCAGACCCATTCCACACATTTGGAATGGGGGCATCACACACCACAGTCATGATGACAACTTGCTCAGGGACACCTGCCTCATAGGCACAGCTGACCGGAAACCGGTGTTGCAGCCCAGAGAGCCTATGTGTCCCCTTCCTCCTCCTTCCTTCTCCAGGAAGGCCACCCATGCTGATCTCCCAGTACTGGGTGCCGCGGATCCAGCTGCTCTTCTGCGCTGAGGACCCTCGTGTGTTCACGGAGCGCGTGGTCCAGGCCAACCACCTGCGCAAGAACACGGAGGCGCTGCTGCTGTACAATCTGTACGTGGACTGCATGCCCACCCAGGGCGAGCTCACCATCAATGAGCAGAGCCTGAACAAGATCAAATACTGGGCGCTGAGCACGCCACGCATGCGCAAGGGACCGCGGTGCGTGTCCCGTGTCCCCCCCTCCTCCGCCTCCGCGGCTCCCAGGGACTTTCTGTGGGTGGAGCGCCCTCTGGCGCCTCTGTGTGTGGTGACTCGTCCCCTGGGCAATGTTGGGTTGTCTCTAGATCCCTCTTTATGGAGCCATATGCACTCATATATTCTTGCAGTGTTGAAAGGGTTGAATGAATTGCTACCCCTTTTAAGTTTCCATGCTGAAAATCCCATACTTGGCCTGTGGCAGCCTCTTCAAACGTCCCCTGTCCTTTGCCTTGTTTCCTTGGCACTCAGTATGTTCTTTCCTGGCATGGTAAGTTCCAGGCTTATCTTCTACTTTCCCAGACCCAGCCCTGAACTGGCTTTTTAAAAATATTTTTTAATTTATTTTCTTTTTTAAAAAATATTTTATTTATTGTTATTATTTTATGAGTGTATTGCTGCATGTTTGTGAGTGCACCTGTGTCATGCAATGCTGGGAAGGTCAGAAGAGGGCTTGGGATTCCCCTGGGTTGTATCTGCCATGTAGGTGATGGGAATCGAACCTGGGTCCTCTGCAAGAGTAGTCAGTGCTCTTAACTGCTGAGCCATCTCTCCAGCCCCTATTTATTTTCATTTTATGTGTATTAGTGTATTGCCTGCATGTATGTAAGTGCACCCATGTCATGCA